TTCTCACACACACACACACACACACACACACACACACACACACACACACTCTCTCTCTCACACTCACTCTATTTCAGCAGTGGCACGTTATCTGGGCATGTGCAGTCTATCCCATTATGACCATCTCCTTTGCCCTTCTCCATATCCAGAGCTGCTGGAACTGTGGACGCAAAGCCAGTGAGACTTGTAGTGGCTGTAATGCAGCACGCTACTGCGGGTCCTTTTGTCAGCACAAAGACTGGGAGAAGCACCATCACGTATGCGGCCAGAGTCTGCAGGGCCCCGCAGCTGCAGTGGCTGACCCACTGCCTGGACAGCCTGATGCTACTGCTAGCCCCAGTGAAGCCGGCTCAGCAGGGCCCTCTCGCCCCTGCTCTCCGGGCCCACCAGGCCCACTGGACGCTTCTGTGCCCCGCTGACCTCCAGATCTGATGCCCAGCCCATGGACGCCATGCCCTGCCAATCTCCTGGCCCCACCTTGGCCCACTAGATGCCTGGAGCTGGCCAGGTGGAGTCACTGCTGCTACTGCTTCTCTCCAAAAGAAAACACAGATCCAACAAAACTGCATCCATGCAGCCTCAGCTACCTGACAAGGTCTTGCCAGGACCTCCTACAGCCTCTCTTCACAAGCATCCTCAGATATCACTGCGGAGCTACAGACAGTGGCGCTGACAGAGTATGGCCAGCTCTGCCACTGTCTGTCCCCTCTGTGTCTGTCTCTCTGTTACTGTCTATCTCTGTTACTGCCTCTTTGTGTTTCTTGATATCTTGGTCTCCCTCTGTTTCCCAGCCCTGACTCTCCCTGTGTCTCTGATCCTCTGTCTTTGTCTCTGAAGCCCACATGCTTTCTCTGTAATCAGAGAAACCTAATTGGTGGCTTTTATTTTCAGTGAAGAACTTTTGAAGATTTTGTTTTGTTTTGTTGGCAAACAAAGCTACTTAGAAACGGTCAAAGAACTGTGGGGTTCTCCCCATTCCTTATTAGAAAAGGAAGAAACTGTGATTTTTCTATCCAGAGCTGCTGCCTCACCCAGACAACCCCAGGGGGATTGGCGCATGCAGCAGAGATGGTGAGAACAATTTCAATTTCCAACTCAAGAAGCATTTTTTTGTTTCAGGTTTTATTTTTTTTTTTAATGTCAAAGTCTTTGGCTTTAAGTGAAAAAAAATCCAAAAAATTATCTTTTTTTTTTTTTAAGCAAAGGAAACATACCTGTAAACTACCTTGCCAGCTAGCCAGCCAAGGATGCCAGACACACCTCGCTCCAAAGGAAATCCAAAAAGCATACTCAAGAAATCAAAATCCAAAATTTATTTTTATCACTGCCAAAGTATTTTTTCATGGTCTTTCCATTCCTGGGTTTGTTTAGATGTTGATCTTTTATTTTGGTTTTGATTTTGTCAGGGGGTGTTGGGTCACTGGGATTTGGTGGGTGGGCCAAGAAGAAACCTTTCGTTCCTTTTTGACTGGTGGTCAGCATCCTTGCTGGGCAAAGGGGTCAGTAGCAAGGCCACATGATCCTCAGCACCATATCCAGAAGCCCCAGTCAGCATGAGCCTGAGTGTTGTGTGCCCTAGGGCCATGTCTACGTGACCCTATATGCAATGAAGACACACCTCCACCTGTCCTCACACCTTCTGTGACTTCTCATAATTCATTTTCCACCTGTGGAAAAAAAAGTGCTAAAGTGTTCTTCCCAGAGAGAGCACAATTCCTAAATGAAACTGTGACAATCTTTTGGGTTGATTCTTGACTGCTTTTGAAAGCTTAAGGAGACAGCGAATCACGCTTTCTTGGTTTTCCCTCCTCTACCTCTCTGCTCTCCCATCCCACCCACCTCCATCGCAGCCCTATATCCCCATCCCCAGTGTCTTGCTGTGGCTACCGTCATTTCTTTCAAACTTTTACAGAAAACAAAAACAGGAAAAAAAAAAAAACACAAAAGCCAGCAGCCACTCTCACCTCACCTGGAAGACTCAAGCCCAGCTGTACATACCCGTGTTGCAACCCAATGTTCGTCTCCAGCCCTGGGAGTGACGGTGATGCTTGCCCACCTGCACTCCAGCCCTTGCCCACCCTGCCCTTCACCCGCTCAACTCCCTCAAGGATTCAAGGAGGAAATGAAGGAAGGAGGCTCATGCCTGAACCAAACAGAAAGACAGCAGACACAGTCCAGGTCTGCGCCTATGTGTGTGGCTGCAGTAAGCTGCAGGCCTAGCGTGCAATATGGGGGAATTACTCCTGAACCCTGGGCCCAAGGGGGCCCTGCCCAGAGCAAGGTGTGCAGCGTGTGTTAATGTGAATGTAAATAGTCTCCACAGAGGTCCCAACCACAGCATCAGTACCGAGGAGATGTTTGCCAAATAAAAAGAAATTAAGACAAACCACAAAAGTATGTGAAATTTAGGAAACACTTTGGAAGGAATCTGAGCTGTGGTCCTATGGGCTTTTTTGGTGGCTGGTATTTCTTCACAACTGTAAAATTCATTCTTTAAGAGAACATTATATGGAAGGATCCTGTTAGGCACCATCAACCTGGTGCTACCCTGAATGGAGCCTGACAGCAACCCTCACTCTGAAGGCCAAGGTAGATCTCATCCTCTGGAAGGTTCCCAAGGCCACAGCCCTCCAAGTCCACAGAGATGTATTGTTGTGGGTTTCAGAGAAACAGGACACATGGCGGCTTCCTGCCCTTCCTTCTAGTGGACCAGTTGCCCTGAGCGTCTGCCTACGAACACTGAGTCTGTGCGCTGGTAGAGACCTGTCTCCTGTCACGGGAAGCATCACTGGATTCCATTCCCAGATGCACCTCATGCAATGCTGCTTGTCTCTGTTACCCACAGCATGCAGCATCCTTGGCCCTTCCAGGAGGGCAAGCCAGTAGCCACTCATAGGAAAAAGCTCTGGGTGAGCATGCTTGTGGGGGAAAATAAAGCTAGGCCCTCAGATTGTGCTTACGAGCCGTATAGTCTCTAGAGGTCTGGGCCAGGAGTCCTGAGGTGGCTTCCCTGATGAAGCACGTCCCTGGTGTCAGGACTTGAGAGGGCCTGCACATATGTGGTCCAGCCATTCTGAGGTAGGTCACAGAGGGTCCCTTACCTGAAGGCCCACCAGTTTGCTTTAGCTCCACATACCTCCTTCCCTACCCTTATCTACCTTTTAGGGACAAGAAGGCCCAGCAGGGACAACAAAATGCTGCCCAGCCAAATTAGCCTCCAGAACCAGGTTACATATTTAGGGTTCAGCAGAGCCCCCCACCTACACCCTAGCTGTCAGATGCCATTCAACCACAGTGAGTCCCTTGTGCATGAGATTTGGCCAGCAGCTGTAGACACCCAGGATGAGGGGCTGGCCAGCTGATAGGAAGAGCTCAGCAGTCAAGGCAACTGCAGAATCAGGGTGGCCGTAAGGTGTGGTGGGGAGGGCTAAGTGAGGGAACGGGGACTGGAGACAGCAGGAGGGAATCCTAGGCATACTGCTAAATTCTGGCTGGATGTCAGCAGTGTCACCTGAGGCAAGAGGGGTGGGGTGGGGTCCTGAATCAGGTTCGAAGGCCCTGGAAAATCTGTGGGTGCTGTGGTCAGGCTTCAGCCACGAAAAGACCTCACAGCAGAACCAAACAAGCTCAAAGCTTTGGAAAAAACAGGGTCCATGGGTGTTCTTTGTTGGGAGGTATACCCTGGGTGGCCATAACTATAGCATGCCCTTGGTTTCAACCTGTAGAGCCTGAGGCTCTACACAGAGCAGGGGGAGGGTAATACTCCATCCCTGACTCCTGCTGAGAGCCCCTCCTGTTACCTTCTCAGCTCACAAACCATGGACCCAAGAACAACTGCCAAGTCCTGCCTCCTGGTAGCCACAGACAAACATGAACCAAACCCCTACGGGGATGTGGCTTTCACAGAGTCTTGCTCCCCAAAACCCCAAATCAAAATGCAACTTTATTTCCTGTTCTGAGGCCAAAGCTAAACCAGGAAGGCTGAGGGCAGAGGGCAGGTGGCAGACAGAACTCTCCAACCCCTAAGGCCTAGCCCAGATCCTGTCTCTTGGCCTTATGACTTCATGTCATGTGTCCTGCCTCTCCTACCCCTCCTCTCATCTCCTTGCCCAACCCTGCCCCAAACTCAGACTGGCCTTTCTCCAGTCTGCTGCCTAAGGGCTGCCCAAGAGGATTCTTTCCAGCTCAGTCCTCACCTGCACAGGAACAGAGGCCAATGGCTCACGTTCCACATATGGTCACAGGTGTATAGGAGCAGGCTGGATTATACCACAGCTTAGTCCTACTGCCTGATTGGTGAGAAGTCCCAGCCCCCACAAGGAGTCAGTCAACAGGGACATCTGTCAGAAGACCTGAAAAGGTCATTGATGATGGAGAAGGACAGAATAGGAGGCAGGGCCATGGGCTATCTCAAAGCCACCATGGACAGAGATCAGGATGGGCCCCAAAGTTCTCTTTTAGTTTCTCCAAATAAATCATTAGGCTGACACCAAAGTATCATCTCTGTCCATTACTGTGCTCCTCAGCCTAACCACACTGGTAGATTGACACTTTCCTGAGTTCATCCTTCTGACTTACCCAGCCATCTTTCTATGAACCCATACACCCCCAACCATTCATCTTCCTCCACCTGCCCTTCCATCTAACTTCCCCATTACCTACCTTGGCCCACCTGCTCTCCCTCTATCATCCATCCATCTGCTTATCTATCTGTCCACACCATCCAAACTGTCTTTATCCCACCATCCCAACATGCCATCCTTGTGTCGGTATGTCTTCCGGTCCCACCCACAGAACCATCCATAGATCCATCTTTCCTATCATCTCCCTACGCACTATCCTCAGAGTAGTATCAGCTTCCTCAGTGTACCAAAGACACTAGGTCCTCCTGCCCTCCACTCTGTTTGCCCTGAACTGGCCAGGGGTGCCCTAAGAATATCCACCCATGAGGCAACACCATGGCCTGTTTTAGACACCTCCAGAAATGAGTTCCAAATGTTCGCAGACATTGTGAACAGATTGAACAAGTTCTTATGGCAGCTGTGACACATCTGGACCTGCTTGGGAAGAAAAGGAGCCAAGAATTGCACTGGGAGAAGGTCTACACACCTACTCAGGAGCTCTGGGATGCTGTGCTAGGCGACCATATTCCCTGAAAGTAGAGGCAGTCCTTGATTCCAGGAGTCTGCCGAGAAGAGGGATCTCTGAAGAGGAGAGCAAGCCAATGCTGGCCTCCCTTGAGACAGTAGCACTCTTAGGGCCCTGTTCCTCAGGACACTTGGGTATCATTCCCATCTTGTCAGGATCCCAAGTAGCTGAGAGTTGAACCTATCCAGTCTGCCCCTACTGGATCCACTGATGGTAGGGGGAATTTGCCAGGTGTTTGGGACTATCCACAGGCTCCCCTGATAACTCATTGCTCTTCCTGAAGCTCCTACTATGTAGAGAAGTTTCTGAAATGAGCCTGGGGAGAGACCCCTGGGTTACCATCATGTTGGCAAGAGGAAAAGAAGATAGAGAAACTGGAGGTTCAGGGGAACCATCTACTCTTGTAGACAGCTTACAAAGCTCAGGACAGTCTGTCAACAACGTGCACAAGTCCCCAAATTCTAGAATACTCTATCTTGTTTTCTGTTCCTTTTCTTTCAATTCAGCTGGTCCTTAGAGTAGCAACTCAGACTGGGAAACAGGAATGCAGCATCTGACTCAAAAGTGCAGCCTGCTCACCATATCCTCAAAGGAACAGCACCGGCTCCCACCCAGACAAGGTCCAGCAGCCCTCAGCTCACACCATATCTGGGGTGGGCCAAGGGTCAGGCCAGAGCACAGCCATGCACAAGCCTGCCCAGGAACCATTGCTTTTCATTTCTTTTCCTCCTGCAGGAGTTGGGAGGAAAGTACTGGATGTTTTCTTCATGAAAAGCTGTGGTCCACAGCCCTCCATGTCTGGGTGCTGTGCCATACCACCCACTGCTACCTTCTGCTGTCCTGTATGTT